CATATTTGGCTCTGAATCTAAGATTCAGCTTGACCAAAATTTCAATGCTCCCTATTGACCATCTCTGGTGGTAGTCAGTGATGCTGCATCTGAACCATCTCCTTTGCTCTGTGCCATTCCTCAGGGCTGTGTTCTGGGACCAGTATTATTACTATTTATTTTATGATTTTGTTGGGATTTTTAACCCTGAGGATTAGCTATCCAGGATAACCCAATGAAGTCAGTTGATCATTGGGTTTAGTGGCTTAGTTTTATTCCTTAATATTCATGGGTTGATTATCACTTTTATGCTGATGATACACAGATCACCATCATGATTCTTAATGCAGAAAATGCAAGACTCCAATTCTTCTTTTATCCTGGATATTCAGACTTGGTGACAAATACAAAACTGAAGCTAATTGGAGACCAGACAGATTTTCATTGTCAGGGAAACCTCAGAAGAGTACTGATTGTCAGATGAAACCTCAGAGGAGTACTGATTGCCAAGGGAAACCTGAGAGGAGTACTCATTGTCAGGGGAAACATCAGAAGAGTACTGATTGTCAGGGGAAACATCAGAAGAGTACTGATTGTCAGGGGAAACCTCAGAAGAGTACTGATTGTCAGGGGGAAACCTCAGAGGAGTACTGATTGTCAGAGGAAACCTCAGAAGAGTACTGATTGTCAGAGGAAACCTCAGAGGAGTACAGATTATCAAGGAAAACCTCAGAAGAGCACTAATTGTTAGGAGAAATCTCAGAGTACTGATTGTCAGAGGAAACCTCAGAAGAGTAACTGATTGTCAGAGGAAACCTCAAAGGAGTACTGATTGTCAGGGGAAACCTCAGAGAAGTACTGATTGTCAGGGGAAACCTTTGAGGAGTACTGATTGTCAGAGGAAACCTCAGAGGAGTACTGATTGTCAGAGGAAACATCAGAGGAGTACTGATTGTCAGGGGAAACCTCAGAAGAGTACTGATTGTCTGGGTAAACCTCAGAGAAGTACTGATTGTCAGGGGAAACCTCAGAGGAGTACTGTTTGTCAGAGGAAACCTCAGAGAAATACTGGTTGTCAGAGGAAACCTCAGAAGAGTACTGATTGTTAGGGGAAACCTCAGAGGAGTACAGATTGTCTGAGGAAATCTTGGAGGAGTACTGATTGTCAAGGAAAACCTCAGAGGAGTACTGATTGTCAGGGGGAAACCTCAGAAGAGTGCTGATTGGAGATTAATGTGCCTATGATTGTGAAGGTGACAGTTTGCAGTCTGTGGGACCACTGTGGAATAACTGTAAGATCTCTGTGGGTTCACTGTGGGACCACTGTGGAATAACTGTAAGATCTCTGTGGGTTCACTGTGGGACCACTGTGGGATCACTGAGGGATAACTGTGGGATCACTGAGGAATCACTGAAGGATCACCGAGGGATCACTGAGGAATCACTGAAGGATCACCGAGGGATCACTGTAAAATCTTGCAATTTTTATATTCACTGTGTGTAGTGTAATAAAGAGTACTGGAAAGTTGATGAAGAAGGGGTTAGTGGGCAAGGGTGAGGGAGGGCTTAGTGGATAGGGTGAGGGAGAGGGGTAAGTGAGTAGGGTGAGGGAAGGGTTTGTGGGTAGGGTGAGGGAGAGATTAGTGGGTAAGGGTGAGGGAGGGGTTGGTCTATAAGAGTGAGGAAGGGAGACCATACAAGTACTAGACATGGACGATGGCAGACAAGAGTGCAAATTTAGTCTATAGTTCTTTACCAATCTGCCTGTGTGCCTTCCTGCCTGCCTGCCCTGCCTCCTCTGCCCTGTCTTGCTAACCCTGCCACTTTGCCTGGGCATAAGCTCATGAAAGATAGACTTACTCTGCTATTGTGTGCCAGTGTCTCTGGATATTTCAAGCTGCAGCCTGTGCTTGTTTATCACTCAGAAAACACCATTTTGAACAATGTAAGAATATCCACGAGCAAGTTGGATGTGGTCTGGCATATTACAACCAATTACTATAAAATTATTAATTTTGGTGTTTGAGTTGCAATAGTTTTGAGGTGCAATACATCTTCTGGAATGGATTAATATCGTAATTCAAAGGACCCCGTATGTGGAAAATAAATTCCCTGAAAATCCCCTGAAAAGCAGGGGTGTCACTAGCACGTTAAGAGACCATACAATAAGTGTCAGGGGCCTGAGACTGTTCAACTGCCTCCCAGCACACATAAGGGGGATTACCAACAGACCCCTGGCAGTCTTCAAGCTGGCACTGGACAAGCACCTAAAGTCAGTTCCTGATCAGCCGGGCTGTGGCTCGTACGTTGGTTTGCGTGCAGCCAGCAGCAACAGCCTGGTTGATCAGGCTCTGATCCACCAGGAGGCCTGGTCACAGACCGGGCCGCGGGGGCGTTGACCCCCGGAACTCTCTCCAGGTAAACTCCAGGTAATACATGATTAAGCATTACTGTTGTTCTAAATTGTATTTTGAATAGAACCAACCGTGTTCCCTCTGCGCCTGTGCAGATGTCCAGGGAGAGAGGTCGACACAGGGCATCGGGGGTAGCGGGAGTCTTTTGAATGTGGTGAGGAGGCTGTGAAAACATGGGACCAGGAAACTGGCGTTCACGGCGGCCTAAGGATTAATATAGGCCTCACTTCATAATAGGAAGTGTCGTAACTGTTCCTGGTGAAGAGTGAGGGAACGTGATTTATGGGACCACCGTAATAAAGTGGTAAATTTAGTGAATAATAGTAGGACCAGTGGTGACTGGCACGTCTCCATGGAGTGTCCCGGGGAAAATACCCGTGATTTAATCATCACTCATCGGTCTCAGATCTTAATGGAGTGACCTCTGATGTGTATAATACTTATGAGACATTAAATTGGAAAAGGCGTATGACAGGGTGGATAGGGGGGCAATGTGGCAGATGTTGCAAGTGTATGGTGTAGGAGGTAGGTTACTGAAAGCAGTGAAGAGTTTTTACGAGGATAGTGAGGCTCAAGTTAGAGTATGTAGGAAAGAGGGAAATTTTTTCCCAGTAAAAGTAGGCCTTAGACAAGGATGTGTGATGTCACCGTGGTTGTTTAATATATTTATAGATGGGGTTGTAAGAGAAGTAAATGCGAGGGTCTTGGCAAGAGGCGTGGAGTTAAAAGATAAAGAATCACACACAAAGTGGGAGTTGTCACAGCTGCTCTTTGCTGATGACACTGTGCTCTTGGGAGATTCTGAAGAGAAGTTGCAGAGATTGGTGGATGAATTTGGTAGGGTGTGCAAAAGAAGAAAATTAAAGGGAATACAGGAAAGAGTAAGGTTATGAGGATAACAAAAAGATTAGGTGATGAAAGATTGAATATCAGATTGGAGGGAGAGAGTATGGAGGAGGTGAACGTATTCAGATATTTGGGAGTGGACGTGTCAGCGGATGGGTCTATGAAAGATGAGGTGAATCATAGAATTGATGAGGGAAAAAGAGTGAGTGGTGCACTTAGGAGTCTGTGGAGACAAAGAACTTTGTCCTTGGAGGCAAAGAGGGGAATGTATGAGAGTATAGTTTTACCAACACTCTTATATGGGTGTGAAGCGTGGGTGATGAATGTTGCAGCGAGGAGAAGGCTGGAGGCAGTGGAGATGTCATGTCTGAGGGCAATGTGTGGTGTGAATATAATGCAGAGAATTCGTAGTTTGGAAGTTAGGAGGAGGTGCGGGATTACCAAAACTGTTGTCCAGAGGGCTGAGGAAGGGTTGTTGAGGTGGTTCGGACATGTAGAGAGAATGGAGCGAAACAGAATGACTTCAAGAGTGTATCAGTCTGTAGTGGAAGGAAGGCGGGGTAGGGGTCGGCCTAGGAAGGGTTGGAGGGAGGGGGTAAAGGAGGTTTTGTGTGCGAGGGGCTTGGACTTCCAGCAGGCATGCGTGAGCGTGTTTGATAGGAGTGAATGGAGACAAATGGTTTTTAATACTTGACGTGCTGTTGGAGTGTGAGCAAAGTAACATTTATGAAGGGATTCAGGGAAACCGGCAGGCCGGACTTGAGTCCTGGAGATGGGAAGTACAGTGCCTGCACTCTGAAGGAGGGGTGTTAATGTTGCAGTTTAAAAACTGTAGTGTAAAGCACCCTTCTGGCAAGACAGTGATGGAGTGAATGATGGTGAAAGTTTTTCTTTTTCGGGCCACCCTGCCTTGGTGGGAATCGGCCGGTGTGATAATAAAAAAAAATAAAAAATAAATCGTCTTGTGAATGGTAATGTAATCAGTGATAATAACACTAAGTTAAGAGAATGTGTGAAGTGAAATAAGTCGCCCTCCTCCGAGTGAACACGTTAGGCCTCATTGTTCCCGTCCCGAGGATAGTGAAGTTTTATGGAGTCACGACTTCTAAACCGGGACAAACCATTGGATACCTCGTCCTGCTGGAATAAGAACCGTGTCAGTGTAGCAGAACATAGAAATGAGATGGTGAATGGAGGAAATGAGGAGCATCAATCCCCCACAGTTAAGTAACCCTTCTAGTTATAGCAGACTGATACTGGCCAGTTAGGTATGTTGTAATTGGATAGGTTATGGGTGATCCAGCTACTTCAAGTGACCACCAGAGAATATCTGGTAAGTGGTGGGATTATGTACAAATGTTTTTCCTTGATGGATATATCCATGTGTAACCTACCCCCCTCCCTTCATTCAGTTAAACTAATATAATCTATACAGTCCACAATTAATTAGTAGCGCTGTACTTGTGGGTGCTATCCAATTTATACTGGTCTCAGATAGATATGGATAAGATTGTGAGGTCGAAGGGGCCACCTGCAGTGACCAGAGGTGGTTAAGTTTTCTCACATGTCTACATGGGGTGACTACAGTAAACAGTATAGTTGTCTCCCAATGAGATTACTCGTATGCATGTAATGTTGAGGTACGTACAGGTAATCACCCTAGAAAATTTTCCATACCGTATTTATATATTTTTTTTTAATTTAGGAAATGTAACTTTGCATACATTCAACAAATACTGGTTGACAGAGTTTATTTTGCAGGTATAACCTTGATCCATTTCACCGTCATTCAGATGAAGAGATCTGGTCTGCATTGGATCAGACATTTATGAAAAATCGTATTGCCAGCCTTAATTTAAAGCTTAGTGCACCAGTGGTGGAGAATGGCGAAAACTTCTCGATTGGTGAACGGCAGTTGTTGTGTATGGCCCGAGCCCTCCTGAGGAAGAGTAAGGTAATATAATGTTAAGTAAGGTAAAACACCTAAAATTAATATCAAGACACACACGCAACAGTTGTGTATCTTTGTGTTGAAACTTTTCACTTACATGATAGGCTTCATCAGTCAGTATAGAAGGGGATTTTATTGTAGACAGCATATATTGTGGCAGGGTAAAGATGATGTAATGAGTCCATCAATCTTGGAGAAATAGTTTGATGCAAACAATTGTAGGCCAATATCAAACTTGCTTTTACTATTGAAAAATTTTGAAAAACTCATACACAAGAGATTATACTCCTTTATAACATCACAAAGAATTCTCAGCCCCTGCCAGTTTGGCAGGGGCTGAGATTGAATTTGGTGAAAAGATTTAATACCTCATGTGTGTGTGAATTTTCAACTGAGCTGCCTCCTGCTAAAATATTATTTGCGACACTCCTCCATTTTAGGTGTCTCAAGTTGAAATTTCCCAGTAGCAAGACATTTGCAGCAGGAGTTGGGAAATTTTTTAGACAATGGTAAATTTTCAAAAGCTGTTCCTGGAATTGCTGGGAAGTTGCATCCGGAGGCTTGTATACAACCACAATGACAAGGTTTTGGTCTTCACTCTTTACCACCAAAACTTCAACTACATCATTTGAGATGTTTAGTAGTTCTGAGCAAATGAGCGACTGTGACATACAGGCCACACTCCCCTTGTTGCCTGTTTTTTTTCTGTGACATCTGAATAAGTTACAACCTGGGATCCATATCCACAGTTTGTATACTACTCATTTTCAGAATACAGATCATACCATTAAAAAAACATTTACCTAGGAGATTTAGTAACTATATAAGGAAGCAGATGCCACATGTTCATTTAAGGATGACCACCATGTTATGTGTGGCTCCTGCTGGCTGGCCTGGCTTCATACCTTCACTGATCGCCATGTTGTGTATGGTTCCTGCTGGTTGGCCTGGCTTCATACCTTCACTGATTGCCATGTTGTGTATGGTTCCTGCTGGTTGGCCTGGCTTCATATCTTCACTGATTGCCATGTTGTGTATAGTTCCTGCTGGTTGGCCTGGCTACATATCTTCACTGATCGCCATCGTTGTGTATGGTTATGCGTGGCCTGGCCTGGTACATATCTCTCTTGATCGACCATGTTTGGTATATTTCCTGCTGGGCTGGCCTCGGCTTCAATATCTTCACTGATTGACATGTTGTGTTTTTGTTTCCTGCTTGGTTGGCCTGGCTACTTATCTTCACTGATCACCATGTTGTGTGATGGTTCTGCGGGATGGCATCTGGACTACATATCTTCACTGAACGCAATGTTGTGTATAGTTTCCTGCTGGTGGGCCTGGCTACTTATCTTCTACTGCTGATTGCCCATGTTGTGATTAGTTCCTGTCGGTTGGCCTGGCTACATATCTTCATGATCGCCTGTTGCTGTATTGTTCCTGCTGCGCTGGCCTGGCTACATATCTCAATGATTGCCTTGTTGTGTTTGGTTCCTTGCTGGCTGGCCTGGCTACATTTCTTCACTGATAGCCATGTTGTGTATAGTCCTGCTGGTTGGCCCTGGCTTCATAATTCTTCACTGATTGCCATGTTGTGTATAAGTTCCTGTAGGTTGGCCTGGCTACTTATCTTCTCTGATCGCCATGTTGTGTTAGTTCCTGAGGGCTGGCCCCTGGCTACATATCTTCACTGATTGCCATGTGTGTATTGTTCTTGCTTGCTTGGCATGGGGGCTTCATTTCTTCATGATCGCCTCATGTTGTGTATAGTTCCTGCTGGTTGGCCTGGCTACATATCTTCACTGATCGCCATGTTGTATATAGTTCCTGCTGGCTGGCCTGGCTACATATCTTCACTGATTGCCATGTTGTGTATAGTTTCTGCTAGTTGCCTGGCTTATTCTTCAAGAGGCATGTTGTGTATGTTCTCTGCTGGTTGGCCTGGCTTCATATCTTCACTGATCGCCATGTTGTGTATAGTTCCTGCTGGTTGGCCTGGCTTCATATCTTCACTGATCGCCATGTTGTGTATAGTTCCTGCTGGCTGGCCTGGCTACATATCTTCACTGATTGCCATGTTGTGTATAGTTCCTGCTGGTTGGCCTGGCTTCATATCTTCACTGATCGCCATGTTGTGTATAGTTCCTGCTGGTTGGCCTGGCTACATTTCATTCACTGATTGCATGTTGTGTATGGTTCCTGCTGGCTGGCCTGGCTAATGCTTCACTGATTGCCATGTTGTGTTTTATGTTCCTGCTGGTTGGCTGGCTTCATAATCTTCACTTGTTTGCCATGTTGTGTATAGTTCCTGCTGGTTGGCCTGGCTACATATCTTCACTGATCGCCATGTTGTGTATAGTTCCTGCTGGCTGGCCTGGCTACATATCTTCACTGATTGCCATGTTGTGTTTAGTTCTGCTGCTGTGGCCTGGCACTTCTGTATCTTCTCTGATCGCCATGTTGTGTATAGTTCCTGCTGGTTGGCCTGGCTACATATCTTCACTGATCGCCATGTTGTGTATAGTTCCTGCTGGCTGGCCTGGCTACATATCTTCACTGATTGCCATGTTGTGTATAGTTCCTGCTGGTTGGCTGGTTATATCTTCCACTGATCGCAACCATGTTGTGTATAGTTCCTGTGGTTGGCCTGGCTTCATATCTTCACTGATCGCAAGGTTGTGTATGTTCCTGTGTTGCCTGGCTTCATTTCTTCAATCCTGATCGACCCATGTTGTGTATAGTTCCTGCTGGCTGGCCTGGCTACATATCTTCACTGATTGCCATGTTGTGTATAGTTCCTGCTGGTTGGCCTGGCTTCATATCTTCACTGATCGCCATGTTGTGTATAGTTCCTGCTGCTGGTCTGGGGGAACTGGCTTCATATCTTCATGGTCGCCTATGTTGTGTATATCATCGTGTAGAAACTGCAACACATGGCATCTTGGTACAGAAAACACCTTGGACAAGCTTTTCAAGTTAGAAGTGTTAGATCTGAGAGGGACATGACCTTTCAGTGGTTACATTCTCACTATAATACGACTACTACTACTACTACTACTACTACTACTCTGACACCTATCCTTCCAGAAGTATTTAAGGTCTCCGCACTGTCGATTGTTTCTTCAGATAGTTCCTTGACTATGAAACTGAAACTTCTCCAGGGCCGAGGGACTGACACCTCAAGTTTCTACGGACTCAAGGCGGTGATGGACTGATTACATCGTCTTCACATTCTATACTGTTCCTGACTATTTCTCTGTATTCGACTGAAGAAGCATACTGTGTTGGCGAAACGTTCGGAATAAAGTGTTCTAACTGTTGCATTTGTGTTTTACCTAACAAACATGTTGTGGTATAGTTCCTGCTGTGCTGGCTGGCTTACATTCTTCACTGATTGCCATGTTGTGGTATAGTATTCCTGCTGGCTTGGCCTGGCTTCTTACCTTCACTGGATCGCCATGTTGTGTATAGTTCATGCTGGCTGGCCTGGCCTTTCATTTCTTTCACTGATTGCCATGGTTTGTGTTATTGTTCCTGCTGGCTAGGGCCTGGCTTCATACCTTCACTGATTGCCTTGTTGTGTATTGTTCTGCCTGGATGGCCTGGATTCATATCTTCACTGATTGCAGGTGGTGTATAGTTCCTGCTGGCTGGCTGGACTAATGTCTTCACTGTTGCTTGTTGTGTATAGTTACTGCTGGTTGGCCTGGCTACATATTTCACTGATCGCCTTGTTGTGTTTAGTTACTGGCTGGTGGCCTGGCACAATATCTTCTCTGATCGCCATGTATCGTGTATTGTTCCTGCTTGGTTCTTTGGCCCCTGGATCTCTGGGCTTCATATAGTACTGAATTGCCTTGTTGTGTTATAGTTCCTGCTGGGTGGCCTGGCTTACAATCTTCCTGAATTGCCATGTTGTGTATAGTTCCTGCTGGCTAGGCCCTGGGGCTACATATCTTCATGATCGCCATGTTGTGTATAGTTCCATGCTGGGCTGGCCCTCTGGCTACATATCTTCATGATCAGCCATGTTTTTGTGTATTGTGTTACCTTGTTTTCCTTGAGTAATTTCCAGGAATTGTTTGCTGGTTTTCTAGTTAATTTGTTAAAATGAATAATGCAATGGTGACGTGATCGTGGACATCAAGCACTTATTTGATCAAATTATTGGACATTAACTTGATTTCCTGATTTTTTTTTTAGTGAATTTATATTCATGAGTGACTTCTGTGGCTTTTTTTGGTGCAAGTTAGATGAGAAGGTTATGTAGTTTCACTAGATTAACCCACTTGGGTTTTGGTGCCTGGAATTTTACGGCAAGACTGGATACTATGGTTGAGACGTATTTTTCTTGATTGCTGTATCATTGGGTGAAGTTGTGATTCGTTTGGTTTTTTGTTAGGACTAGTATATCTCTTGCTTGCGTTCAGCTTATTTTGGGTTGCCCCAGTGGATCTAAGGAGTGTCTTTCACGGTATTTTTTTAATATCATCTTTACATTTTAAGTGTATCTATTAGGAATAGTACAGATGCTTGGACTTTATTAGTTGTGGTGATGGACTTGTTGTATAGTGTTTTAATTTTAAAAATTTCCTTAGTTTAGCACCCCATCTACATTTTTCTTCCTTTATTGGTTGTTTTTTTCAGTGGATTCTCCTTGATTGCCATTTAGATTTGATCTGTTTGAGTTTTTACCGAGACAAATGTTTTGTTATAAAGTCATTGTATTTTATTAGAAATATGTACTATCCTATTCATTGATACATTCTCAGCACTAGAATATTTTTGTCAGGCCAGTGACAACTGAGCCTAGCTTGCACGTGGTAGTGTCTTTCGTTGCTGCTTCATTGTGCAGTAACTGTACATAATAGAGATTCTTACTATCATTCAGTTGGAGTACTTACCAATGTTTGTTTGAAGGAAGCGTGGGACAGTAGTGGTCTGTAGTGTTGTTGTGCCAGTATCCCTGATAGGATGGGAGCCAGTACTTTTGCCCTTTATGTGGT